TCATTTCTGTGGTGATAGCTTCGTTAATTTTCACGTCCTCTACCAGGTGTATTTATCGATCAAGCCATAGTTCCGAGTGTTCCGAAGGTATAATATTCAAACTCTGCAGGAATAACAGATTCAAGATATGTAAAATTTCTTGATATATCAAACTCTTCCATCACTTCCGATTTTAGCAGAAATGACCACAACTTTCGAATTCCATATTCAGTTAGGGATTATCATGAGGAATTCAACGATACCGAGTTCGATGAGATTAATCAAAACGATTACGAAGATATTTGCGATAGGAGTATCCATATGCTCAAAATTGAAAGTTGGGATCGTTTCCGGTCAAACCGGAAGTAATGGGAGAGTATGGAATATCACAAAATTAACCGATTCTCGAATCCTACACCCCTGCCAAATTTGAATCTCACACCTTCAGAACTCTGGAAACTATGACTATTCTAAAAAATTCGATGATTCACGTTATGTTTCAGAATGTACAACACATTGTTTATAGTGATAGCGTTAAGCAGGATAAGGTGTTTGAATCCTACTGAATGGATATAAATTCCGAGGAAATTCATTTTGCATCATATTATCGCCCCCAGCAAAACAGAGAAATGAGTTCTTGCCAAACGGGGAGATAATTTTCGAAAATTATCACATTTTCAGATATCACCCTGTAGGTCTCCATGTCGGAAAGTTGAAATAACAAAAAAGTACTGACTTTGTAATCAATGACTGAGTTATCAGAATGATGAAAGAAATCGGAAATTGGTTGATTCAATCCAGAGTTATGACGATTCAAAAATTATAGAAAGTTTTGTTTGTCTCACACCAAATGTGCCCCAGTTTTGTTGAGTAATATCAGTAGAAAGAGTTAATCTCAAAATCATCTCCACGACATTCAATTCTTGAACATAGTTATATTGCAAATGGGAGAGACATGTTTCGAGCATATAATAAGCCCATCATCAGCCAAGGTTAATAACGTCATGAGGATGGAAACATTTTCTTGTGAACCTCCTGAGGGTATCTTAGAGGGTACGGGCCCCTCTTTGAATTAAAATAACGGTTTTTTATTCCAATAATAATTTACCATGTTCACTTTTCAATTTAATAAGATTTCACAACATTTTTCCATCCTCATGACGTTATGAACCTTGGCTGATGATGGGCTTATTATCAGCCCGAAACATATCCCTTCCATTTGCAACATAACTATGTTCAACTATTGAATGTCGTGGAGATGATTTTGAGATTTACTCTTCCTTCAAACACTACCACTCCGCTTTGAGCAATATGGACTTTTTCACACGTTTGACTTAGGTATATTAAGTTAACACGTACGTGATGGGGAACCAAACTGTGTACTATACTACGTTATTAGGCTGGTGAATATCACCACAGTCAAGGCCGATTCATGCAACAGTCATTATGATTACATTTTCATTACATTATAAATTGAGAATGTTGAAAACTCCTATGTCATAGAATGCGTTTATGCAACACATTAACACATTTTCATTGCATTTTCATCACATTAGTCCACTAAGAAGTTGACCAACTTCTAACTTTCCATTATAATTACATTATAGTTCTAGTGAAGACGACTGATTTGCAAGATTAGATCATTGAATGATCATTTTTTCCACAAAACTATTCGTGATTCACCTCAGATATTATATTCAAAATAAATCCATATTCTCAAATAACCTGTAAACATTTGTAAAATCCAAGCAGATCACATAACGTCGAATGGTAACGGCATAAGTTGCAAGAACCAGGTACCTCGCGGCTAGTGAAAATGTAATTATAATGTAGTGAAAGTGTAATTATAATTAATGTTGCATGTATCAGCCTTCGAATGCCTTATACCTCGCTTATATCGTGGAGTAGTGCAGATTTTTCGAATAACATTTTGAAAAGTCTGAATCACTTATTGTCTTCTTGGCACATATAACACTAACAATGATGCTCTCAGTAGGTGCTTTCTTTAACGCGTATATTCAAAATCGTTTCAATTATGGCCGTGTCTAGAACCACGCTAACGTGAATTTTGTTTTCAGAATCGCTCTACGCGAAATGCGTGATGAAGATATAGTGAGGACAACGTTCTGCGTGGATTTTTTCCTCTTGTTCAATCCACGCTAATTCAACGTGAAGCACCATGCTTCTTCATCCACGGCAATTTTACGTGGACAATTTCTTCATGATTAATCCACGCTAATATTGTGATCAAAACACGCTAATTTCGCCTGAAGAAACATGCTTTTGTTTCAGTCACGGTAATTTATGTGCTGAGGAGCGTTGCTGTTTATCAGTAATGAGAGATCATTCCACACCAGTTCAATTTTTTTCCTTCATCTGTATCCATAACAAGTCAAATATATGTTATACCACAGGTTCCATAACCTCTATTCTCTATATGATAAAATAATAAAGTTATAGTCATGTGGTGAGGTCATTTAGGCCATTACTGATTGTTTATATATGCATTATTGAAGTACCTATTGGTGTAAATACTATTCCTGTTCTTTTCCAATTTATATTATACCACTTTGTGTTTATTTATTGTGTCACAGTTATTTCTCTTTGTTACATTTGAAAAGGAGTTGAGAATCATCCTTCCGGATGAACTTCACCTTTTGTACATTCGTGATATTGACTGCTGGTTGTGTCACCTATCATTATTCTTGTAACCGAATATGACCCTTGTTAAGATGTAGAATGTATAATAAAAGTGAATTAATTTTTGTTATACATTTGGTTACGAGGAAGTTGAAGGTTTCAAGAGTATGGAACCAGTATTTGACAAAAATATTGAGAAAGATTCATCTGAACTATCCAGAAGGTTCGGTTGGAAAAACAAAACAAAGCAGGACTTAAGTATTGTGAAATTCATTATGGCAGCATTTATGGTGACAAAAATTTTCAAAGGACACCGCACGTTTTATAGGGAAAATTGGCCTCCTGTCGAATTGGCTGAATTTTTGATATGCTATATAGTTCAAGACATTTTGAACGAAATTTCCAAATATCAAACCGTTCTAATGGCTGGTTTTGGCGCTAGAGGCCGATGAAGTTTTAATCTTGATTTCTTTTCTCCTGATGAATGATGTTCTTTGAGCCATTATTATATTTTGATTTGATGGGATGAGCCAATTCTATAAGTATTCATCAATATTGTTGCTACTGGTCAACAATTATACAATGTGTTCCAGCTATTATTGTTCAAGACGATAATGATATTCATTAATTTTATAGGAAAGGATATCGATGAATGAGAAATAGAGAAATATCCTATTTCAATCACAAAATAGGTTCATTCGAATTCCATGTTCACCCTTTGTATAACGGAAAGATACATGGAGATATTAACCCTTTCCATATAACAGCGGCTGAATGATATTCGAATCAAAAAAATATGTTAGTATTCAAAATTAATGTGATGATGGTTTTTATAGTATTAATCTCCTATTCGCCAAGGTTTGAGATGGAATGTTATTTTGCGTGTTCCCTCCTAAAACAGTTCGTAAAACAGTTCGTATATATAGCATCAATGAGTCAGCACCAGTAACAAATTTCACAAACAATTCAATATCTACGATCCTGCCTCATCAACTTGGGATGATTAATTGATGATTCTTCAAAGGAAAGTACGATTCTCTAGGACGTGACATCTGAAAAATATAGACAAGCATTTGAACAAATATACTAGGTAAAATCAGAATTTGTTGACGAAGTTACAAGGAATATTCATCTAAAGATGCAAATGAATACTGATATTACTGATAATATCTGCTACTGTTATGGAACGAGTTAATAACGTTATATATCTCCTCTTCATATATTAGGTGAAAATTAAATAATAATAATAATAAATGTTTCAATTGTCATAATTGAAATGCAACACGTGACAATATCCTTTTTCATCGAATTATTGGATAGTATAATATTTTATCTGCCCCATAATTGCTGAAACACACTGTATAATTCTTGACCAACAGCAACAATATTGAAGAAAACTTGTAGTGACTTATCCTATCGAAAACTAATATAATAATAGCTCAGATTGAAAAATTCATCAGGAGAAAAAATACAACATTGAGACTTCAGCGGCCTCTAACGCCAAAACTAGCCATTAGAACAGTTCGGTATTCGGACATTTTGTTCAGAATGTCTTGGACTATAACATATCAAAAATTCAGCCAATTCGACAGGAGACCAATTTTCCCTATTAAACGTGCGGTGTTCTTTGAAGAAAGTGGATTGAAGAAGATAATGTGTGTTCCTTTCTGTTTCTTGTTGCGCCATTATGGGATGAGTGATACTTACTCTAGTCATCCATATTTACAATACTATTATTTTCACATATCGAATTTATACAGGGCGATCAAGTTTTGATGACTATAACAATCCAAGATTCAAGATGAGATAGAACCTATGAACATAAGAATATGGCCTGACATGGTTCTTCATTCAAAAGAGAGCGTTGAAATTCACAGTTTTCCAGCGGAAATATTGATGGATAGATATAGCATAACTCTGAGAGATGAATTAGCAAGGACTATTGATGAAGAAAGGCTCCACGCTAAGTTGGCGTATAATAATCAATTTCGCGTGGAGGATATCTGAAAATAAGATCCACGTTAGCGTGGTTCTAGCCACGGCCTTTAATCACCTATCTCGTTTTGCACGTGGAGCTTATTAAAACTCTCGATTGCACTATACTATTTCATATGCTGTCGTATTGAAGGTTCTCATATCGAACCTTCTCATTATCATTACAATTAGTTTACAAATAAGTAACCCTGCCCCATAGTTGACTATCGAACTACTTGAATTATCATTGTTTGCCTCGATGATAATTTTCCTTCAAAGAGATGGGAGTCGAGTGATACCACATTAAAAATGTCTTTCAATTATATCTATACGACACCAAAATGTCAGACGCAAATTTTCAACCAAGACAAAATTGCGCCTGATAATGTTCAGAATGTTATACTTACATGGATCTTCACGACCAGATGGCTATTAACGTGCTCTCCTATAATCTTCAACTCTCTCAACTCATTCTCAAAACGTTCTTTTACCAGAAGAAGGTTGAAAGCTAATTCGAAAAGAATAGTAAACGCAGGGTATCACATGAAGTTATAGTCATGTTGTAGCCATCTAGTGGCAAAGCTCTAAGGTAGGATGCAGAAATCGCGACACACACTGTATGGCGCTGCCATCTATAGTCACACGTACAGACCCCTACGTCTATGCGCTAGTGGTACTACAAGTAAACCACTCTGCTGACAGATGGCACTACCTGACATACTCGAGTGGAATTTTTCCACTACCTATTCAACTGCTATATCTCATAACTAAGAGATCCAGGATGAACAGAGTTGCCCCAATTGTCAGCAGGAGCGAGACAGTACTGTTCCGACCCACCAGGTCTCATCAGCCGCTCTCGGTCTGCTGACAACTGGGACAGTCAGTTAGTTATGAGATCTAGCAGTTGAATAGGTGGTGGAAAAATTCCACCCAAGTATGTCAGGTAGTGCCATCTGTCAGCAGAGTGGTTAACTTGTAGTACCACTCTGTAGCGCATAGACGTAGGGGTCTGTACGTGTGACTATAGATGGCAGCGCCATACAGTGTGTGTTGCGATTTCTGTATCCTACCTTAGAGCTTTGCCACTAGATGGCTACAACATGACTATAACTTCATGTTATACCCTGCGTCTTCGAAATGGGTGATATACCCGAAGCGTAGAGTTGTCCCAGTTCTCAGCAGACCGAGAGCGGCTGATGAGACTTGGTGGGTCTAAACAGTACTGTCTCGCTCCTGCTGACAATTGGGGCAACACTGTTCGTCCTGGATCTCTTAGTTATGAGAGCAAAAGAATAGTGAAATTGAGAAAATATCTATCCAAAATCAAGAACAATGTTCATTATTACAGGTCATGAATGCAAAACTATAACACTACTGTTGATTGAGATATTCACATCTGCTGATATTGGAAGGACGACACCTCGTGGACTCAAAACCAGCCCATTTCACTTTTGTGGAATATTGGATTTTTTACTGAGAACCATTCTTTTCATCAAATATTTCAGTCATATCTGGTTTTGGTTCCATTTGTTTCGAAATAATATGATTTCTTTCTGTGACGGGAAAAAAGTTTGGTATTTCATCTCTGATGGCAGGTTATAAAATGTCACTTTTCATAAATTACTTTTTTCCCGTGGGAAAAAAGTGAGTCCTTTTTTCCCGGATATATATCACATATATATACACTGTTGATGACTTTTGTTGTGCTATAGTTCCGAAAAATGAGTCAATAATACCGTCTCCGAGAAAGAACTGAAAGTCCTTTTATCTTCCATTCGACTTCGCGGTTACGTATATTACTAAACAACCACTAAATTCGCAATTTTTTGAAATCAAATCACAGAATTAGACTGACAGAAGTGACATCAGATATTTGATTACTTCAAAAGAATGATAAAGATGCCTACAACGCATCAGGTGTCCCTACTGTTAAAAACTTCACGTCGATGATTTTCAGATTTCAAAATAATGTAATATCTTCTCAATACTGATTCGTCCTTTCTTCTGTCACAAAAAAAAATAGTGTATTATACACGGGAAGAATATTAGATTTTAGCTCACGGTTTTTTGTCTCCCTCGGCTACGCGTCGGGAGACAACACAACCTGGAGCTAAAATCTACTACTTTTTTTCCTTGTATAATAAATAACTATTATATCCTTCAATGCACAACAAGACTATCTTTCGTGAGTTAGACTAGCGCTGTTCTCGGAAGGCCAAGAAGTCAGTCGAAGAATCTCGCAAGGTAATAAAAATGCTAGAACTCTCTCAGTTCAAATTTTAATCACAGCAGGTAGCCCGATGGTATTATAGCGAATTTCATTGGCAGGAACTGATTGAGTGTTTCTCCACTCAGTGTATATTGTTTCATACGGGAGTTGTAATTAAAAGCCTTTCAAATAGTTTCATGACATTTATTGATCCAATTTATTCTGACACATCTATCAAGTGTTTATTTAATAACCATAACAACCAGCATTTCATGTGTGACTATTTCAACAAAATAGGAATGCCTAATACCCCTCTAAGGATCTATTCATTCCAACACATACAATCATACCTACTGGATGTAGCAATATGACACATATATTCACCACTGTTTGACACATGCGAGTAAGAACGAAACTTATACATTGCGGGCAGAAAAACTCCACCAGTTCCTGCCAAGAGAATTCGCTATCGAGTTATATCAGAAAAAGTTGTAATTATTGTGATTCTGTATCGTGTATTGTAGATCGCAGTGTTTGTATTTGAATAAATCGTTCCAAGTTTTTTACTGGGGGTTCGTGGAAATCGACGTTTATCGTAACAATATTCTGGAATGCAACAATAGAAGTTCGTTCAATTGACTTTTTTTTCCGCTGTTTTTATCGTTGGAATTCATGGTGTTCATTGTAATTTCGGTAATCGCTCCACAAATATTTTTCACTGACATAAAGAATACAGAATGTGTCCATTGGAGAAAAAAACGATTGATTTTTCTTGAAGTCCGCAACGAACCATTTCACAGAACAGAAAGTGGATGTGAGATCATCTATGCGATGGTCCTGATCGCCAGTTTCCGTTGGTGAGATAGGCATAATCTGTCCCGGCATTGAATTCCTTTGGATCTCAACAACTTTATCAGCTAGCTGTGCCAAAGCATTGTTGTTCAGACCATCTGCTGCAGCTAGCGCAACTTGCACTTGTTGAGGAAGGCGATCCATCCAGAGCGTTTTCGTGAAATTTTCAGTCAGCTGATTACCACCTAGTTTGATCATTTCTGTCAGTAATTCTGAATGTCGTTTGTGTCCCAGTTCGAGACCAGGAACTAATCTTCTGAATTGAGTTTGCTGAGATACAGAGTAATGATTCAGCAGTGCATCTTTAATATCTTTGTACTTATCTGTAGTTGGTGGATTCGTGACAATGTGCTCGACGACTGAAAGCGTTTCCTGATCAAGGCGTGCAATAACAGCGTGATACTTGGTTGAATCAGTTTGGATTCTTCGGCTCTGAAACTGGGCTTCAACTGATGTAAACCAAAGCTGTACCTTGTTTGTCCAGAATGGTGGTAAGTGCAGCGCCTCGAGAAGATTGAATGGTGGTAAGTGCAAGTAAGATTGACTTGCGAATTCGACGCTTGATTAACCTGCTGTTCAATCAGGTTTGGCTCGTCAAAGGGATCATTTTCGATACCGTTATCTCCACCGCCAAAGCCGTTCATACTGATAATATGTTGTCCAAGGTAGAATTCAGCTGCTATCACTGTCTATCACTGTCACTGAACGATATCTGTTTGTCAAATGCTCTTCGTATCACGTCGGGGTCACCAATTATGTGGGGGTTGTCCAAATATAAATTATTTAATTCGTGAATCAGAAAAGCCAAATATATTGACAAACTTTTCAATTCGAATCTCTATTCTCAACTATCAGAAAAACAATCAAACATCTATTGATTAAATAAAAAAACCTATCGTCGCTAACAAAGTGAATAGCCTTGTCTCTTGATTTTTCAAATCTTGTTTTTCAGCATCCACTGAGTGTTCAGATGTTCAGATCCCTACAAACTTCATACATACAGAACCATCTAGTATCGAGTAGTAGAACTAATAATAGCAATGTAGCGGATGTTTGCCAGAATACACCCATTGTTTCTCCATGTTGGTAATCGTTAATTCTGATGCAACCTGGATCATCACTTATCTACAACCTATTCATTAGAACCATTTCAATAAAGGTAAAGACCTAGGGCCCGGACAGGGTTGTTGCCAATGTTGAGAATAATATTTATGAAAAACATCCTGTGAATGAATGGATGAATGAATGTGTGAGTTTGTCAAGATGTCAGTGTCATGAAATATGTCATCAAGATCATCAAGATGGTAGATGTTGGATTACAGTACATTTTGTTGTTGTAGTCATGGTATAAGTTGTTGAAATTCTGATAGATGTATTGAAGGTTCTGAATAAAAATATTTAATGAAATAGCTTCAATTCATTCAAGAAAAATAAAACCATATAAAATCATAATCCAGCCTAGGGGCCTGGACAGGGTTAATCCGGCCCTGGAAATAGTTGTGTTGATTTAGAAATATCAAGAAATTGTTCTGAAGGTAAAAATTTTCTGAATCAGAAAGAACACATCAATTAGCTACTGGTTTAATTCAATATGGCTGATCGTAAACTAGTCAGGACACCGTTAGATCTCAATCAAAAATTGACCGAGGAGATTTCTCCACAAAATGAAGAAGATATAGACTACATGAAGAATGTACCTTATCAGCAAGCAATAGGAATATATTGTATATCGCTCAAGGTACAAGAGCAGATATTGCTTCCACTGTAAATACTCTCAGCAAATACAGCAATTATCCTGGCAAAGCTCACTAGACTGCAGTTGAAAGACTTATACGCTACCTTGAAGGTACAGTCAATTTCAAAATTGAATTCAGTCAAAATGGCTTTTATTAAATTTTTGGATGTTGTGATGCAGACTGGGCCAGTGATTCTGACGAAAGACGTTCATGTTCCGGCCATATACGTATTAATAAACAATACGGATCATAACGGGTGCCAGGATGAAGCCAAAAATATGAAACAAATGAATATCCATAAGGATTTGGTGGCATGATACGCATGCGCCATGCGCTATTATAGTAGTCATCAAAGACATGCGTTTCGGTGGACAATGACGTTTACTAGCCTTTCAATCAAAGCAGTATGTGTCTGATCGTATCTCACTTTTCCGTATGGATAGTCATTTGTCTTCAAAAATCGGCTTCATGTTTCGCTATGGAAAGAGATAGAGATTATCCGTATTGATTATTAATACGTATATGGTTCCGGCTACGATTTTCTATTGCAAGGAGGTGCCATTTCATGGTCATCTAAGAGGCAACAAACTATCGCTCTATCTACGACATGGACGGAGTACATGTCACTGTCTACTACTCCGCAAGAAGCTATGTGACTACTACAATTCGAAAAAATTTCATACTCAAATGAAAAACGACAGTTAAAGAAATTATTTCATAGGCATATATTTGAGGATTGATTATGATGATCTACACGACAGATATCGTCTTCAATGAATCTCTCATCTCTTTTTCTTGTGTCTCTGTCAAATTGTCCAGGGGTGGTCTTGATTTCCCAACGTTGATGGGAGTCACGAGGTTCATGGCAGTTTTCATAGTCGGTACCCAATGACCTTAAAATAAAAAAAATAACATCAATGTATAGATCGAAGAAGATCATAATGAATAGATATAAAAAGTAAATGATGTTTAGATTCATAAACTAACCCACTAAGCAGAGGTATTCATCAATATTTCGATGTAGAGTGAAATTTAACGTCAACGATTATTGCTGTAGCAATCATAATGATGCAATATCCCACTGGGCAAAGAATACGAAGAAGATGTTTGCTGACGTTATTTTCAAAGTCACAATGGTAACTTCCCGTGAATACGTAACAATGACGAATATACTAGGGTTTTGTCTACTGGCATCCCTGACATTGCTGTCACGTCACATCCATGGGCGCTACAGAAAATCATTCAAATTTTTGATTGAAAGTATGTACAGGGTATTTACTTGTTGAGGAAGATCATATGGCGAACGAGTTTTGTAATCATGATCCGATTCTGTTCAAAATTGAAAGGTATCTGGGGTTTTCCGGGGTTGGAGAAAATGATTGTTTCGTCAAACTTGGAGAATTCGAGATGACGGATCCAATATATAGCGAAAGAAATTTCCAATTATGATCTGATTCTATTTAAAATTGGTATCTCAGGGATTTCGGGGTGGAACTTCATGATTTTTTGTCTAAATTAGGAAATTCATGATAGCGGATCCAATATGGCAAAGGCCTACCTCTATCCAGAGTATAAATGTTCTTGCTTCAATGTACGGAGCAACGTCGTACTTTTCCTCCCTAGAGAGGAAGAGTACTTTTTCTCCCTAACTTTTTCTTCCAAGGGAGAAAAAGTGAAGGAAAATGTATCTACCAAATGGTTGGAAAGAATCCTGTTGCTAAAATTCATGAAAAAAAATTGCAGAATTTTTAAAACTGCCTTAGGTCATAAATTATACCTGGCATAGTTTCAGAAGAACCTCATCAGCAAGTTCACTTGCAAATTCTGGAGGAGACATCCTTGATTGGAAGTCTACGAATATAGCTAAAGGGTATGTTCAGCAATCTCTCACAAAATAGTAAAAAATTCCGAACCAAATCGTGGGTCACTGAAGTTAATGAAATTGATTGTAATCAGCCAAGTACGAATTCTGTATAATAATGTTTTTTTATGAAAATATCACGAAAACTGCATTGGCTTCAGATCTCACTTCTAGTGGTATTCAAATAACCACTTCTCAAACATGTTGCTTCCTTCTGAAGCAAGTTTACTATAATTATGTATACGATTCATGATTCGCATTTAACGAGCCACCTCGCAAGCCACTCTGCAAAATATGCAAAACATATTCGAAATGATGATTTTACTCTTTTTTCCAGGTTTTCAGGATTCAGCATTCAAGCACAGTGACATCCTGAGGAACAACACGGAAAAAAAAGTTTTGTTGCACCAACAAGATAATTTTGGTCATTTTTTCTTTGTTAAATTGAACACAATTTTGCGAAATTAACAAAATATATGTTGATTCCAAATAAGCAACCTATTCAAAGAGACAGAATAATTTGTTTGAAATATTTGCTTACTCGTACAAAAGTTTCATTTCATTCAACAACATTCATAGTTGACATTAAACAAATTTTGTTGATCCAACTAGCATCTCATTGTTCAATCGACCATTTATGCATTTTGTCTATTCTACAAAATAACATCAATATAGACAAATATTACACTAAATACAACATCATATTTTGTTGAGTCAATAATCATTACATTGTGCAACCAATCGAATGTTTTTTATTATTCGACAAAATTGAATTGATTATGACAACATTATATTTTGTTGATTCAACACATCACTATCTAGGAATATGTTGTTATTTCAAACAAATTACTATGTTGAACAGAACCCACAAATACATTGAATCAAACAAATATTTTGTTGAATAATTATCTAGTTGCATTTTTGCCACTAGGTGGCGTTTCTTCCAACCTTCCTACGCTCGCCTCGGTTGGGGTGTACATATACCTACCTAGAACATCCGTTTATATAATTATATTAGGCTGTCCTAGACTTTCTCATGACGCTTATACAAGCTAATAGTCTTGGATCAACTGAGAAAATTGATCCCTAATTTTTCTTAGTTTCGAAATTCAGTTATTGGATTTTTTTTATGTTATTCAGCAAAATATTTTGTCAATTCAAGATACAATTTGGTTGATCGCAGAAAATATTTTGTTATTTTAACATATTCACTCTCTGAAAAACTAAAAATGTTGTCACTTGAATGAAATGATGAAATCATTTCAATCAACCGAATCGTTCATAAGAGCAGGATATTGTATTTCAGAAACAAAATATTTGAATCATTAATGAGTTACATCAAATGAATGTTGAATTGAAAACTGACAAAAAAATTTTGTTGCGGTGACAAAATATTTTGTCGTGGATATATGACACTCAGATTTTGTTGAATTTACAAAAATTTTGTACTTAGTTTCAAACAATTTTTTCTTCTGAGAAGAAGAGGATAGCAAATCACAAAAATCTAGAAAAATCCAAATTCCACCTCCTATATTGAGCTACTGACATCATTTATATTATACAGGGTATAATTTTTGTTATTCTTCAATAGGATGACCAAGTTTTGATAATATAAAGTCTTCTGTTCACCAACTACAAGAGTTTATTGTATTCCTTTGATGGTAATACAAGAAAATAAGGATCTTCTGGACAAATATCCATCCAATATAATGAGACATTATCTGTTTTCAACAAATTCGAAAATTCATGATTCAAAAACAATATACTGTTCAACTATGGTGGGAGTTTAACTAGACAATATAATAATTTTCTTGTTTCATACTGATCAATTATTTCTTCGACCAAAATGTAATGTGATAATATAGTTATTTTCCTAACAAGTGCGCAAAGTGTTACTTTTCTGCACGCAAATACAGTTGGTCGAACGACGCGGAGCGAAGTCCGAATAAGTTTTTGCGTGCGGAATAGACACTTTGCGCACGTGTTAGGAACAACGGTTTTTCTACGAGCTCCATATCAGATATAAAGGAAAATAAAAAAAAAATTAACTAATTGAAAAATGTAACTATACAACAATCACATATAATAATGAAATATAATAATAGAAAATCCATCACATTTTCCCTATGAGCTTCATATCAGATAACAACGATAAAAAAAAAATCAACTTAAATTACAATCTATAGAATAATTTTTAGTTGAACTTGATAGAAATAGCTAAACAAAAAACAAATACATATCAATAAAATATAATGATAAAAAATTCAATCATTTGTTCCTAATATTTATATTGAGGTGAAATTTAAATATCGGGAGGAACGGTTAAAAAGTAAAAGGGATAACGGCTTCTTATAGTGCATACAATAGTCTACAGCAACTAAAATGAATATAAATGTTCCATCCCAGTGAGATTTTCCGCACGCCGTGCGGATAACACCCATATCCGCAATGAGTGCGGAAAAGTATTACTTTGCGCACGCAAATGAGTGCGGAAAAGTACTACTTTGCACAAGCTCGTAGGAAAAATAAATATTCATTCGTATCAAGATTTTCTTTCATGAATATGTCAAGAAAGTCCTGTAGAAGATTTAAACAAATATTTGGTTGGCCCTATTCAAGAGCACTATATGGTTGAATTTAATACTGTACCACATTGAATAAAGGAATCGATCTTCTCTGTGTACCTACACATAAAAGCCCATTGACTGACAACTCACCATTTTTGGTTATGATAGAGCAAGCGGAAGTCAGTTGTTCTTGAATGCTTCTAGCTTCTTCAATCCTGGACTCTTGCACTGCCTTCATGATACTGGATGCAGATTGAGGCAGAAAGTTCAATGTTGTGGCAATGAAGGAGTCGATCCCCATGGCACAGGCAGCTGCCATCATCTTGAAAACAAAAACGAAAAGTGGTTGAATTCCATAGATAATCTCAAGGTGCAATGTTGAAGATGAATGGGAAGAAAAACGGTCTCAATTATTCCTTTCTTCTTGTCAATACATATATTAGGAATAGGAACATGTTTGAAAATAAGAAAGTTCATCATTAGCCATCAAAATCAGCTAATGATTCTAGGTGATTCGACGACAGAAGACATTACCCACTGTTCAAAAACCCTCTGTAGATACCAAATTAGGATTCTAGTAGTCGAAGGATGCAATTATTATCATGTTGTTATGCGATATGCGTCCTTCGTGATCCGTCACTGCTTTTCCTATTTTTGTTTCACCAGTTCGTAGATTAGTGTTTATACAAATATAAATACTCCTCCTATACATTACAATTTTCATTTCAATACTGAATATATTGATATATTGGTGAGTTATATCTTTATATCATTAAACATCATACTATTCATCAGATCTGAAAGAGAATGTCAATTGTCAATTTCGGAGGATTTCAATTTCCATGTTCCTCTTTTGGATGTTCAACAGATATAATTCAATGTTCGACGTAGCAAATAGCCAGGAAAATAGTTGTTTTCTGTTGAATATTCAGAATGATATTATGTGCATACATATTTTTATCTGAAGGAGAATGAAAATTCTCAACATCAAACAATTTTATTTCCAAATTCTTATTCTGAGTGTTTGATAGATATAATTCAATGTTCGTCATATATAGCCAGCAGAGTATAGTGTTCTTCTGTTGAATATACCGAGAAAAAATCGATATTTCCATTTCATATAGAGAATGAGAATTCTCAATGTATTTCTTTATATATATATAAATATAGATTATTTTTTTCATGTTCATAACATATGTGAGAAAATTCCTTCTCAATACATTCCATACCCAATCAAGGGGTGCAAACTTGAACTCCATCGTTCAAGCTTGATGTTATTTTCAAAGACCTCTCATCGCATATTCGTGATTTGGTTTTGTCAATTCAGAATATAATCCATTTCAAGTTATCAAATGGTGAATGACTATTATGGAATTAGAGTAAACCAACCAGATATTTCTTCAGATTAACTTCAAATCTTTATATGCTTCCTAAGTATATATGCTTCCTTTATATTCTTATAGTCATGAATTGAAGAGTTAAGTACGTATATCAAATTATTCCACTAATGAATATCGATTGTTCGGAAAAATTGACCTATAAACATTTGTTTTCAATGAATTCAATTATCTAGTTTCATGGGTATAAATCGGATCATCTCCGTAAATTCAAATTTGATATTTTCAATTCCTTTCTGACGAAATGAATTAATCAACAAATTTGAGTTAAATATGTATCACTATGGTAACACCATGTATGAGTTAATTGATGATACGTTTTTATATATGTGTGGACAGGCAGGAACTTTCAATGTAAAAAACTCCGTAAGAAAGTGCGATAATTTTTTTTTATATGAAATACTAACATTATTTTGGCTCACTGTATCAGTCCTATCATTCACGACATGACCTTTCCAGACAACCTGTATAGATTCACAGTTAGTTCCAAGAGTTATGAATTCTCATATATTTTTATTTCTTCAAACGTAAAATATTAGTAATTCCCCAATTGGATATTGAAATATTGTAAATGTGAACAAATTGAACAGAAATAAATAAGTATTAGGTAGTGAACCAACGGTCTTTCGAATTCTACATGTTATATAAAATACCAGCAGTATTTTCCTCAAATGGTCAATATGTTGAGTCCACGGTATTTGTTAATGAATATAAAGACCTACAAATTTTGTGAAATTAGTATATTCAATAGAAGAACATACTTCCACAGAGATATATCATAATCGAGAGTCGACTTTATTTTTTTATCGCTTGGAGCGCACGGAAGGGAATCCCTATGATGTTCAAAGAACATCGTGCGTTCCTAGGGAGGATAGGGACAGGAGGTAGGTATTGGAGTTTTTTTTTGAACTTTTGGAGATTATATGTTGTTGGGAATACTTCCACAGGCGATGAATTCCAGAGCCTAGCCGTTCTATGGATGAAGGAGTCTTGATAAAGTGCTGTTCGACATCTTTCGAGATTGACAACGAAAGGATGTGCTGACTGGGCTTGTCTAGTTCGTCTGATTGGTATTGCTAGTGAAGGGATGATAGCAGAGATTTCCGAAGAACATTTCCCGTGGAAGTATCGATAGAAAAGTGAAAGGTCGCCGACCTTTCTACGGTGTTCCAATGATGTCAAAAAAGAGTGAGTGAGTGTGGCGTCACCCACCAGGATGGAATCTAAGAGCATCAGGGTATGTTTTGGTGCTGAACCCCATATGTGGAAACAGTATTCTAGAACAGGCCGTATCTGCGCTTTGTAGATCATGAGAAGCTGTTGAGGTGTAAAGTGGCTTTTCGCACGGAACAAGAACCCGAGTTTTTGTGAAGCAGCTTTTGCGATGGATCTGACATGATCATCCCATGAAAGAGTGTTGCTGATAGAAATACCGAGCATAGATATGGTGAGCTTGGTGGGGATGGTGGAGCCAGACATTACAATATCGGGCATACTGAGTTCCGCCTTTCTAGAGAAAATGCAGGCTTGAGTTTTGGTGGCGTTGAATTCAACTAGGTTGTTTGTTCCCCAGGCTGTGATTTCAGCAAGATCTTCATTGACAGCATTGACCTGCATGCGCCGTGAGTTCTTAGTTTCCTGGGAAGAAATGGGAATTCTGGAAGAGAACGCAGTATGGAGGGTACTATCATCTGCAAAGCTGTGAATGGGGCAAGTTGTTACTCCCAACAGATCATTGATATGAAGCAGGAATAATGTTGGTGCCAAAATTGATCCTTGTGGAACGCTGGAATTGATGCCAATGGTATCAGACGATACACCGTCCACCACCACGTGAAGCGATCTGCCTGAAAGAAAACTCGATAAGAGATGGCATAGCTGAGGTGGTGAGCCGTATGATGGTAGTTTGTGGAGTCCTTCGTGCCAAACACGGTCGAATGCTTTCGATATGTCCAACGCGACAGCTAGAGATTCCCCGTATTCTTCTATTGAAGATTGCCATAAATGGGTGACGTAGGCAAGTAGATCTCCAGTAGAACTTCGGTGGCGAAAGCCGTATTGTCTATCATTGATGATTCCTGAGCTCTCCAGATATTTGATAAGCTCAATATTGATGGATTTCTCCATCACTTTGGAGATTACTGATAACAGGGCAATGGGCCTGTAGTTGTTGAGCAGGTTCTTGTTTCCTTTTTTGGGGATTGGTTGGACTCTAGCTGTCTTCCACTTGACCTGTACGAGATGGTAAACAACTTGCAGAGAATCGGTGTTAATTCTGGTGCACATTTTTTGAGGATAATGGGTGGAATTCCATCAGGACCGTTAGCCTTATTCATTTTGAGACCAAGCAAAATTCGTCTGATAGTGCGTTGACGGAAGACGATTTCGGGCATTCGACTCTCAACGGGTGGAATGTCTGGCGGCAGTTTTCCTTGGGAATCTAAAGTAGAGTTTGCTGCGAACATCTCTGCAAAAATATTTGCTTTCTCCTGCTATGTTGTTGCTAATGTGCCGTCAGATTTGGACAGTGGTGGAAATGAACTATTAGTGAAATTTCTTCCGACCGCCTCAGCAAGGGACCAAAACGAACGGGAGCCATTGGGGCAATATATGAGTTTCGATCTTATCTTGGCATTGTATGTTTTTTTCGAAGCATCTATTGTTTGGCTGCAGTTATTCCTGGCATCAACGGATTCTGCTCTAGTCGCGAGGTTGGGGTTTTTGCGCCAGCGATGGTAGGCTGTTTGTTTCAAGGCAACAGCTAGTTCTAGAACAGTTTTTGTTGAACCAGGGTTTCGAAGGTGATGATCTTTTCGAAAAATGAGGTATGTATGTGTCCATTCCGAGCATGATGATCTCGGATATTTCCGCAGCACACTGTGAAGGGTCCTCAGAGTCAGAGCATACTCTATGCCAAGGAAACTCGGAGAAAAACATGCGGAGACCGTCCCAATCTCCTGAATTGTAATGCTATATAAGACGTGGGGGTGCCGGAGCAGTTGATGGGATGAAAAATGGGCAGGTTGTGGAGATGAGTGTGTGGTCAGAATTGCCAAGTGGAGCTCGTACATCTATGGTGTAGGGATTAGTGAGGAATAAGTCAAGTATGTTAGATGAAGGGTTATTGGCATCGGGAATTCGTGTGGGTTCTTTGATAAGCTGCTCTAAGCCGTGAGTGATGGCGAAAGCTTCGGCTTGTCGCCCAGCTTCATCCGTTCTGTTAGAGTGTACGAGCCAAGCAGTGTTGTGTACATTGAAATCTCCCATGATGATGATTTCTGCTGCTGGATGGTTCTGTTGAATTTGGTCAAGCTTCAGAGACAAGAATTCGAAGAGCTTTTCATAGGATGGATCATTTGGTGATGAGTAGAGACAACAAAGGTATTTGGTCTGTTTCTGGCTATAGAGTTTGAACCACATGACATCAAACTCATTTGGTTCCAAAGTTTTTTTCTCGTTGACATGAGAGATTCGTTTTAGAGTAGAGACAGAGACCTCCCTTGAATCTGAAACGTGTGTGGAGTTCGTACCCAGGACAGAGCAGATAGGTCGTATTGGTGGATGAATTGACATGTGTCTCAGTAAGAGCCAATATGTCTGGCTTTTCAATTTGAAGGTGTCGATGGACATCGTTGATGTTCTTACTTAGACCTCGAATGTTACATAGGTCTATCTTGAGGACTTTTTCAGCCGATGGTGAACCCCCTCTAGCACCTCTCGCCCGGAAATCCGAATGAGGAGGTATTTTACTTCCGGATAATTTTACTTGAGGAGAACTGATCATCGCTCATTCTGTATAAAGAAGGGCGGTTGGCGTGGAAGGAAAAGGAAATTGGGTTGGGTTGGGTTGGCCGGAACATCAACCAGCTACTGAAACACGGTAAGTATACCCATTTCACAGTGCCTATGGTTACTAGGTCGTTAGCCACGGTGATATTTGTTTCGCATCATTTTTGATATCCTTATCGATATATTGTCAGGATCTTTCGAGGTATCAAATATTGTTGTATCTGCAAATAGTTCTTGTTTTACTCACAGTTTCAGAGTAAATATTGCGTTTATGTCTATTAGTATCGAAATTCGACTTGAACTTGACCCTTGTGGTACACCAATATTCATCAACAAACTATAATAAGTACTATTGACATCAATATAGTCTATATTTTTCGAATAATTTCGAAACCCATCATGAATTTTTCTCCAGACATCCATCGATCTCCCAATCCTATGAACTGAGGAAAATTGGCGGAGAGATGATTTTTAGAGTTTTCCTTCCGATTTTTTCGGATTTCAATAAATTATTCTTGGGCAGTTTTCCTGTTTCATGATATTTCATGATGTTTCTGAGTCTTTTACCTTATTTGTTCCAAGAAAGACAGCGTATTTCCCTTTATTTGCTTCCAAAGCAGCTATCCCACCTTCCAGATCTACAGTAGAGTATTTGATACCTTGGAAAGTTGGCAGTTCTGTGGCGGCTTCTTTCATCAACGTTGCCATATTCACTGAAAAATAATAGGTATAAGGGATTGGTGATAGTGATTTTTGATAATCGGTTCATCGATATTATATTATCGATGACTCTTATACTCATAATGAGCAAGTGGACTAATTTTTCTCTGTCAAATAGAATCATCACCGATCATCACTCAAATACCCATAAATTCCATATTTTTCAAAATTATCGGTCGATGTTAAGGTGCTGAAATCTTCAATAATGCCAGGGTTATTTTCAAACGGCTAAAAATTCACCGCAAACAAAATTTGACGTCACGATCTCGATAGAATAATTCTCAATTATGTATTAGTAATATTCCTAATGAGCAATACAAAATCCATTGTCTCAAAATCTGCCCTCATGTGTTATGGCTCATTGATTATAATAAATATATGTAAATAATAATTATAGTAGTACATGTACTTTGTTGGTGTGTATGTTAACACCAACTAACCATCGACCTTACGAGAGGTACGTCAGTCATGTGTGTTCTTTGTAGGCCTCGTTACTGACTCCATATGCCACCTTAGGAGCAACACTGTTAATCGGAACGCAACAGTGAATTGCGCGGAATCAACTCCGGCCGAGGCTACAGAAATAGAGATTTTCAACTCGATTTATAAATAAAAATCCTCAGTTGTGTCAACATGTTGCCAAGCCTCCAACAGTTACATGAAAATTTGTTATGGAGTATAAGAAATATGTTGACATCCTAGTCGCTCTAAACAAAGAAACAAAGTATAATGTTTCATTCAACAACAGAAGTCTAACGTAATTTTTATAACTTGATTATAATTGGTGACTTGACGTTATTGTTTCATGACTGAAAATGGAAAATACATTCGACGTTACGCACAACCTGGCCAAATGGCAACCATGACAGTACGTTAGAAATGAGCCCTGAAATTCAACAACTTCGAACAACGCATATAGACTCATTATTGACCTAAATAAAGCATTAGAAGTGTTGCAAAGAATAATTTAGGAGTAATTGAACTCTAATAATTCATTATCAGTCCATTGTGCGTATTACGAGTAGAAATATAAATATTCTGGTCATATTCCGATAATACTGACATTACTGGTACACCATTACTGGTAACAGGTAACAGGTAACATCCGACGCCCAAGGCGTAATAAATAATGTATGTTATAATTAAATGAATATATGTATGTTATAATTATAGTAGTACATGTAATTTGTTGGTGTGTATGTTAATACCAACTAGCCCTCGACCTTACGAGAGGTACGTCAGTCATGTGTGTTCTTTGTAGGCCTCGTTACTGACTCCATATGCCACCTTAGGAGCAACACTGTTAATCGGAACGCAACAGTGAATTCCGCGGAATCATCTCCGACCGAGGCTACAGAAATAGAGATTTTCAACTCGATATAAATAAAAATCCTCAGTTGTGTCAACATGTTGCCAAGCCTCCAACAGTTACATGAAAATTTGTTATGGAGTATAAGAAATATGTTGACATCCTAGTCGCTCTAAACAAAGAAACAAAGTATAATGTTTCATTCAACAACAGAAGTCTAACGTAATTTTTATAACTTGATTATAATTGGTGACTTGACGTTATTGTTTCATGAGTGGAAATGGAAAATACATTCGACGTTACGCACAACCTGGCCAAATGGCAACCATGACAGTACGTTAGAAATGAGCCCTGAAATTCAACAACTTCGAACAACGCATATAGACTCATTATTGACCTAAATAAAGCATTAGAAGTGTTGCAAAAAATAATTTAGGAGTAATTGAACGCCAATAATTCATTATCAGTCCATTGTGCGTATTACGAGTAGAAATATATTTATAGTAGTATATATATACAGGGTGTTTCATAATTGAATGCTGATTCTGAAGGGTGATGATCCTTGGATGATTTCAAGGAGAAAAGTTCATATCAACATATGTCTTGAACCTCTTAGTTTTTGAGCTACAGGGTGTTGAAATCAGAAGCGTACAGCGTTTTTTTTTTAAAAACATTCAATATATCAGGTCTACAAGGACATCACTGGTAAAAGTAAAAGTTTGATTTTCGTCCCGAAACAAAATGTGTTTCCACTTATAGTGGGTGTCTACTGAATTACCAAAAACAATATCCAAGAACTGAAGGAACAAAATTCTTTGGTTTTTATTTTTTTACGTGAAAACGGTACGTTGTATGAAAGTAAGTCTAGGAACCAAATTTGCTCCAAAATGAATAAGAATTGAAAAAACAATCTGGTTCTCAGAAAAATCAGTGGCGTACTATTTTTTTCTTCAAAAATTGTCAGTTCAAACCCCGTACGGACGCCACTGGTGAGAATTTTCGAATATCTTGCACATAAAAAAATGCTCCTCAATAATAAAAAGGTGTATACAGAATATCATAACGATATCTAAGAGTGATAAAAAAGTATGATGACAAACATATTTTTTGCTTGAAATTTCATCACCCTGTAGCTCTATAACTAAGAGGTTTGGGACATATGTTGACATGAACTTTTCTCTTTGAAATCATCCAAGGATTATCGCCCTTAAGGATCAGCATTCAGTTACGGAACACCCTATATATAATATATAAATATGGTAGTATAAATATTCTGGTCATATTCCGATAATACTGACATTACTGGTACACCATTACTGGTAACAGGTAACAGGTAACAACCGACGCCCAAGGCGGAGGGCTGGAACCTAAAAGCAAATTATTTCGAATTATTTTAGCTTTGGGATATTAGGTATGAGTGACTATGACCCCCTAAGGGGCTTTATCTGAACCCACGTTTTCTTACTATTTTCATTCCTGTAATCTCAACATTTGTCAACGCAGACCAAAATCACTGTGTATAATTCAATCATTCAGCCACATTTTGATTATTGCTCATCCATTTTATATCTGTTCAATTTGAATAAATTGAATATTCTCCAGAAGCTCCAAAACCATGGAATGAGAATAATACTGAAAACAAATCGCTTCACCCCTTTAAGATCAATGTTAATGACTCTTAGTTGGTTTTCAGTGGAGAACAGATTGTACTATTTCACTATGATTCTCATTTACAAAATAGTTAATCATTTAGTACCAGAATACTTTCAGAAATGCCTGAAATTCAATAAAAATATTCATAATCATAACACGCGTGGCAAAAATGACAGCTATGTCTCTACCACTTCCTATCGTAGTACCATGAATTCACTATTTCACAAAGGATTTTTGGAGTTCAATAAATTGTCAGTCTGTGAAGGGATCTCCTTCACTCATCCAGTTCAAAGCTAATTTGAAGGAATTCGTCCTAAATAAGTAGCTAAGTAAGGTCTTCATGGTGTATTCCATATGTCTATTTAGTATTTTATCTTTTTATGTTTATATTGCCGTTTATTGTTACATATACTGTTTTTAATCTTATTATTCTACTTTCATCGTAGGTATTTCATGATAGTCATTTTAATATTTCTGTTCTGCAATTGTTTAACTCAGTTTTCATTTCTGTATATGTGAATATATATTGTAATATGCCTTCTTATTCAATTATGTATATTAGGGTTCCTAATTAAATGAAGATCTATCTATCTGCAGTTGAAAAATTTATATGTTATTTCGGGACACCTTGTATAGTGACTGAAACTTCTTAGAGTGTCTGGATCTTTGAATGACTGATATAAAAAAAGTGGATTATGTATACGTACAGTTCACTCCGCTCCATGCAGGTATGTGATAATAAAGTAGTGGGGTCTTAGGGGCAGCCTCGCCAACAATCCTCAAATAATTAATCAGCTGTCTGGTAGCCGTCGGCCTAAAAAATTTCATTCCATAATTATTTGATTTTTCGTTATTTCAATAGAAGCCCCTGTATTTTCTTCATGGCATTTCAGAGGCTAATGAATTCGGCCACAATTCAAATTGATCTTGTGGTTTCCATGCCATGAAGCTGTGTTAATGAAATCAATATAAACGATACTAGCTCTGATACTCTACAAATTCCTTTCCCCATATTATGAATGTTGGCAACACAAAAAATCAGAAGAAATTATGAAGAAGACCAATCTGACTTGAATATAGAAATAGAAATGGCCAAAATGGCCTGCTCGATTTCTTCTCATGATTGTGTTACGACCGACATAGAATACTCGTTGAATACCTGAAGACAAGGATAGAAGAATATTTCTCATCTCAACGATAGCTGCAATTCTCTATTAAATTTGAAATAAAATCAGTAACAAGCTCACATATCACGTCAAAATCATGCTACGTTGAATAGTTATCAGGCAATCTGCCTAGTTCATCAATATTTGAGTTTCAACTATTTTAAGCACCTGAAATAGAGCTCAGGAAGACATAGCAACGAATCTACGCCTATGGATTCGGCGTGTTTCGCCAACTCGATGACGTCAGGCAAAGGACACCCGCCTACTTGGACCATCAGATGTTGCTTTGTGGTTTTCACCGCCTTCGACCATTCCTCCAGGGCTGATTTTCTTTCTTGGACGTTCATCGACATGCTTTCTCCGGAACTACCGTGAACTGTTGAAAAATAGTTGTCAAAATCCTCAGAGTAACTATAATTAATAAGAGGTGCGTGAATCTCTATGACAAGGTTGTGCTGTGTCCATGGAAAGGCTATAAAAAAACCAGAGATAATGTATTTTTGAAAAGTCTCATTGTGGACCTCTCAATGACACTATTTTGGAACCAACACAAGTCGTCTTAAATAAGTCGTTCAGGTGACGTATCTGCGTGACATGAAGAAGATGGGGTTCAGCACCAAAACATACGCTGATTCTCTTAGATTCCATCCAGAGAAGAGCCATTCGCCTGGTGGGTGACGCCACACTCACTCACTCTTTGACATCATTGGAACACCGTAGAAAGGTCGGCGACCTTTCACTTTTCTATCGATACTTCCACGGGAAATGTTCTTCGGAAATCTCTGCAATCATCCCTTCACTAGCAATACCAATCAGACGAACAAGACAAGCCCAGTCAGCACATCCTTTCGTTGTCAACCTCGAAAGATGTCGAACTGCACTTTATCAAGACTCCTTCATTCATAGAACGGCTAGGCTCTGGAATTCATTGCCTGTGGAAGTATTCCCAACAACATATAATCTCCAAAAATTAAAAAAAAATTCCAATACCTACCTCCTGTCCCTATCCTCCCTAGGAACGCACGATGTTCTTTGAACATTATAGGGATTCCCTTTCGTGCGCTCCAATCGATAAAAAAAAAAAAGACCACACCTCGAATGCCATTGTCCAGTATACTGGACATTTGATATCTTCACACGTATACCGCGTCCACTTAACTGGACGCGTTTGAACAGCGAGTATATGCACTATCTTTTGGTGTCGGACCACGAAGTTGGTTTTATAATAAGATGAAGATTATCAAGATCTAACTTTATTAACTGCCTGACGTTCAACACTGATGTCAACTGACAACTAACATCATCTCAATGAATACAGGGTATCCATTATTCAAGTATGAGATAATACTGTTACATCCCCCATTATACAAAATTGAGCAACTATCAATAATATTAATTTTAAAATTCTTCAATGAATCTTCTTGGTTTGCGAACCTCCCTTCTTGGCCTGACTTCAGTTTCTGGAGGTTCTTCATTTTCTTCGGTTGTAATGACACCTCTTCCGGAAGACTCAGCTGAAGCGTTCTGATCTGGTGGAGTGCTTCGAGTAATGAAATCATATGAGTAATCTTGCGAACACCTAGCGATGGGATCAGGATTCACAGTAGGTGTATCAGATTCATCTATAGCTGTACTTTTCCTAAGATGTTTTGTGTTCCTTTCCAGAGTCTGTCCTTTGTTGGTCTCGATGACAAAAGATCTAGGTCTTCTTGCTTCTCGTATGATTTCTGCACCTATCCACTTCTTAGGCCCTTCTTGCATGACTACTTGATCTCCTACTTGCAAGTCATTTCTAGATTTATGTATAGTACGGGATATAGTTGAGGATATTTTGGTTTGTTCTGGCAATTGGGATGGAAATATTAGAATAAATGTGGCAACATGCACGGGGCGAATCACATGGTTTGCAATGGGTTTTTCGCGCATCTGGTCATGTTAATTGGCTGATTTTCGAGCTGATTCTAGTAGCAAATAGTCGCATCATCAGCCAAAGCAAATTTTGGTGTACGTTAAGGAGTTTTTCGTGAAAGAGTGTATAGTTTAGTAATTTTTCTGACATAACTACAAATAATAATGACGCAACCCCAAGGTAAGGCCTGCATAATTTTGTTGAAATGTCCGAATGATGAGTACTTTGCATAAACATTCGATGGTTGGAATGCAAGGAGAGTAGAGAGGTAATAATAAGAAGATCAAACCTGCATGTGTTTTGATTATGATAAACACATTTCAGGTATTGACCGCTCCGACCAAATGATGTATTATTCCACTCCAAGAAAAACCTTTAGGTGGTACCGCACATTCAATTTCCATTTGTTGGATTTGTGTATGTGGAATACTTATTACATTTATAATCTCCATCAGAATAAACATGTCAGACTCTTGGACTTTCGTGAAGAAATAATTATGGAGCTAATGGACCAGCCAATAGAAACTTTTTTGAAACTCCTCATGCCGAAACAACAAGAACAAACAAAATCAATCAACTGAAAAGATGTGCCAATGCTCGAACATGAAAGAAATGAAGAGAACTAGTGATTTTTGCCATGTTTGCCCGAAAAAAACTGGTTTATGTGTCAATCATTGCTTCAAAAATTGAAATTCATCGTCCATTTTAGGTTCCTCATATCTAGATTTGATATCATTTTTACTTCTCCATATTCAATAAAGGAAATAAATAAGTAATACACTTAATTCAGTTTTTTTTTTCATGAGATGTGTATGTCCAGTTTACTGGACAGCGAGCTATACATAATTACATACTAAAACCCCAAGCGGGCAGTGCATGAAACTGGACAGCTGCTGAGGACCTCGAGAACATCAGCATGAATTAGCAAGACCATATTTATATTCTCAAATTACGCTTAAAAAAATAATAATTAACTCAAACCTAGCTTTGGTTTCGCAGAGCCTCCTACTCCAGCCATACGTGGCATTCACCGTGTTAAATCGACTTCTGCGAAGTCACATTTCATTGAAGTATATTTTTTTTATCGCTTGGAGTGCACGAATGGGAATCCCTATAATGTTCAAAGAACATCGTGCGTTCCTAGGGAGGATAGGGACAGGAGGTAGGTATTGGAGTTTCTTTTGAACTTTTGGAGATTATAATTATGTTGTTGGGAATACTTCCACAGGCAATGAATTCCAGAGCTTAGCCATTCTATGGATGAAGGAGTCTTGATAAAGTGCTGTTCGACATCCTTCGAGGTTGACAACGGAAGGATGTGCTGACTGGGCTTGTCTACTTCGTCTGATTGGTACTGCTAGTGAAGAGATGATAGCAGAGATTTCCAAAGAACATTTCCCGTGGAAGTATCGATAGAAAAGTGAAAGGTCGCCGACCTTCCTACGGTGTTCCAATGATGTCAAAGAGTGAGTGAGTTTGGCGTCACCCACCAGGCGAATGGCTCTTCTCTGGAAGGAATCTAAAAGCATCAGCGTATGTTTTGGTGCTGAACCCCATATGTGGGAACAGTATTCTAGGACAGGCCGTATCTGCGCTTTGTAGATCATGAGAAGCTGTTGGGATGTGGAGTAGCTTTTCGCACGGAACAAGAATCCGAGTTTTTGTGAAGCAGCTTTTGCGATGGATCTGACATGATTATCCCATGAAAGAGTGTTGCTGATGGAAATACCGAGCATAGATATGGTGAGCTTGGTGGGGATGATGGAGCCAGACATTACGATATCGGGCATACTGAGTTCCGCCTTTCTAGAGAAAATGCAGGCTTGAGTTTTGGTGGCGTTGAATTCAACTAGGTTGTTGGTTCCCTAGGCTGTGATTTCATCAGCAAGATCTTCATTGACAGCATCGACCTGCCTGCGCCGTGAGTTCTTAGTTTCCTGGGAAGAAATGGGAATTCTGGAAAAGAACGCAGTATGGAGGGAACTATCATCTGCAAAGCTGTGGATGGGGCAAGTTGTTACTCCCAACAGATCATTGATATGAAGAAGGAATAATGTTGGTGCCAAAATAGATCCTTGTGGAACGCCAGAATTGATGCCCATGGCATGGGTAGTTTGTGGAGGAGTCCTCCGTGCCAAACACGGTCGAATGCTTTCGATATGTCCAACGCGACAGCTAGAGATTCCTTGTGTTTTTCTAATGAAGCTTGCCATAAATGGGTGACGTAGGCAAGTAGATCTCCAGTAGATCTTCGGTGGCGAAAGCCGTATTGTCTATCATTGATGATTCCTGAGCTCTCCAGATATTTGATAAGCTCAATATTGATGGCTTTCTTCATCACTTTGGAGATTACTGATAACAGGGCAATGGGCCTGTAGTTGTTGGGCAGGTTCTTGTTCCCTTTTTTGAGGATTGGTTGGACTCTAGCTGTCTTTCAGCATGATGGAAAAATACCCGACCTGTACGAGACGGTTAACAACTTGCAGAGAATCGGTGTTAATTCTGGTGCACATTTTTTGAGGATAATGGGTGGAATTCCGTCAGGACCGTTAGCCTTAATCGTTTTGAGACCAAGCAAAATTCGTCTGATAGTGCGTTCACGGAAGACAATTTCGGGCATTCGACTCTCAACGGGTGGAATGTCTGGTGGCACTTTTCCTTGAGAATCTAAAGAAGATTTTGCTGCGAACATCTCTGCAAAAATATTTGCTTTCTCCTGTGATGTTGTTGCTAATGTTCCGTCGGATTTGGACAGTGGTGGAAATGAACTATTAGTGAAATTTCTTCCGACCGCTCTAGCAAGGGACCAAAACGAACGGGAGCCATTGGGGCAATCTATGAAATTCGATCTTATCTTGGCATTGTATGTTTCTTTCGAAGCATCTATTGTTTGGCTGCAGTTAATGTCTCGAAGAAATCTAATCCACACGTCTTCAAAACTAAAAAAAGTGTGCGTCTCAAAGACGTCTCAAAGATGTACCGACTTTGCAAAGTTTCATAAAAGACGAGCAAATTATAGGGGGTATATACATATAAGATGATTTCCATATCGATAAATACATGTTTATTAAAGTTTTTTTTATGGCTAACAATCGAGATTCAAGGAAGTGAGCTTGCTCGACATTCTCTTGTCAAATGACAACAAGATTTGAATGCAATTTGTAATGTATTCATCTGTCTAGAATTTATTTCAGGGAGATGAATACACAACTAAATAATATTCAAATTTGGAAGTTTGAATGAGGAAATGTATCTCATAATAAGTTAGAATTTCATTTTAACAATAAACATTTTAGATTATCAATAACATATTAAAATATTCAGATATTATTACTTCATTTCTTGTTTCAGGAGAAATGTCTCCAGAAACTAGTACTTGGAAAAATATGTATAGTTGTTCCTCTTTCAAATATTCTTGAAATGAAAATAAAGAAGCAAATTCAGTGCCTTTGACTTCTAAATAGCAATACACAAGCCTGGGCAAGAAAGAAGATGACATTAGGAACATGTGCAGGTGGGTAATTCATGGTTCTGCTTGTATTGTGCTTGCCTTCTTCAAATCATAATAAAATCATGTCCATGACATCCTGCATAGGAATTTATAGGTTCCTATTTTGTAGTATCATCTTTGCAGTGAAATAGCCAATGCAGATTGCATGTACTCCCAAAACGATTAAGTTAGAATACAGCTCCCGATTACATTCATATATTATGATCAAAAAGAGAAACATTTTATCATGTTCAAACAAATCATTCGCGAGCTTACTTCATAGTTTGAATTGAATCTTTGAACATACATTGAAGTAACACCATCTATTTGAATGTTTAGATTGTGTAATAGCTTATAGATATGGCATGTTTATAGTTTTTTTTTTTTTCAGCAGGAGATAAATTGCGATGGAGTGCAAAAAGCTTCACAAATTGAAACCAAAATCCAGATTCATGAGATAGCAGGAATTATATTATATCTTTTTCTCTCTATTATTTCCTTGAAGTTAAATTCACATTTTCAAGGAGATATCACTGATTAGGTAGGTACTCGAACATATCAATAACATTTCAAATTGTATCTTGGCAATATGTATTCATAATTTCAATGCAGAATGTCATGAACCTAATTTTATTATGATTCAAAGAAGGCAAGCATTACAAACAGAACCATGAATTACCCACCTGTACATGTCCCTTCCCTAACAACACAAGTACATACTAGGGACTTCCAAGGGTTGTCCATAATTTCATACTAGGACATCCCAGGGATATCATTTGTCGAGACAAAGTACATACTAGGGACGACCCAAGGACATCCGCTGGCCGACAAAAAAGGCATCCGAGGGATGTCCTTCTGGTACGTCCCTGGGATGTATCAAGTACGGAAAAAGGATATCCCTAGGACGTCCCAAGGATATTCCAGGTATATCTCTTCGACACAAGACATAAAAATGTAGGGATTGAACCCGGGAACTTTAGCTTATCAGGCACGCACCTTACTCCATTGGCTAATATGCCTTCTGAGTATTTATGTACTGAACAGATTCAAAAACAGGACTAAATTACAAGAACCTGAATGAATTCAACTTGGTTAGGATTTGGGTATAATCATTAACATTTTTCGGTGTTTAAAAATGAAGGGCATTATGCATTTACGATTCCTGTTTGCGAAAAATGGTCATTTCTTAAGAAGTTCTGAGACTATATTCTTTATTTTCATTACAAAGAAAAACAAACATTTTCAAAAAAGTCAACTCAATATTTTGATGAAATCCAATGACTCTTGATGTGGATGGATATCAGATATTCCAGGGACTCGAATAGGATAACCTAGGGATATACCGGCGGGATGTTCACTGGACAACCATTGCGGGACATCCCCTGGATGCCCCAATGATGTTCTTGAACCGCGAAACAAGAGATGGACGTACCTTGGACATCCCTGTGTTGTTAGGGTAATGTCTTTCTTGCCCAGCATTGTGTATTGCTATTCAGAAGTGAAATGCACTGAATTTGCTCCTTTATTTTCATTTTGATAGTATTCGAGAGAGAAACAACCAAACATATTTTTCCAAGTACTAGTTCCTAGAGATATTTCCCCAGAGACAAAATATGAACTGTTGATCATTTCAATCATGTTCTTTCAGGCACTACAAAGAGTTGATCATCAGTAATGAATAGGTATATCTATGAATAACAATTGCACCTCATTGTTTTCATCATTGAAACAATCAAATGAGAAAAAGATGAGTAGGAAGTTTTAGTTGTAGGTGCATACATCCAGTTTCCAAATTCATATTCCATTCTCCACGTTTATCCATTCCTTCTATCCAACTGAACTGATTTTTCATCATCAGAAAAGACTTCTTGAGTGCAGGAAATTTATTTTAAGGTGTTTCAGGTCCTACATTTTTCCATTGGAACCTTCTACAAGTTCAACCAGCAACAAAACACAGTTGATTTCTTGTATTTTTAGAGATTAGTTGATCAATAATTTATTCAAAAAATTAGATTGAGTCGGTAATGGATGAAAGTTCATGTTTTGTACTCAAGAGAAGCAAGAAAAACTATTCAACGTAATTTGTTGAATGGTATACATAAAATATCAATAATATTGATATTTTATGTATCATGAATCTCAAATGAACAAAATAAGAAAATGACCTCAATATCGTCTCAAACTAGTTCGAATATGCCCACCAGATGTCGTATCGGAATCGTTACCTTGCCAATCGAATATTGTAATTTTTCTAGATTTTTTCGATCTTTATTTTATAATACTATACTATAAGATACTCGCCTAGTTTCAAGCCCACTAATGGAAATGGGAAGTGACAAAATGCTGCCTAACTATTACAGACCCTTCAACACTCATCTCTACTGGGATGAAATGGTCTTGACTAACTGTCAGGAAGGCACTGCGGTACACTGACGGTTCTAAGACTGATTAGGGTACGGGAGCCGGAATATATGAAGATAGACCCAGAACCAGGATGTGTGCTTCCTTGGGGAAGTATGATTCAGTATTCCTGGCAGAGGTGCATGCTATTGAGGCATGCCTGAAAGAGAATATTGTAAGAGGATACAGAGGTAAACAAATCCTCATATGCTCGCAGATAGTCAGGCGGCCATTCAATCTTTAACATGCAATTAAATCAGATCAAAACTGGTCTGGGATTGCCTTCAAAGCCTGCTAACCCTGGCTAACTAGAACAAGGTAACTCTTCAATGGGTGCTGCTGACGCTCTTGCTAGGCAAGGGTCTGCAGCGTTGTTTATGGGACCGGAACCTGTGTTCGGTATCCCCAAAACCTCAATACGCGACTGGCTGGCTGGGTGGATGCAAGAAAGACATCAGGCATACTGGAACAATGTCCAAGGATAAAGACACAGTAGACTGATGGTTGGAAAACTGTCCAAAACAGTGACTTACGACATTCTGAGTCCAAACAGAAGTCAGATCAGATGAGTGACGGGACTTATAACCAGTCACTGCCCCTTGAGGAAACATATGCATCAAATGGGCATCTATACAGACAACCCATATGCAGACTATGCAATGAGGAGGAGGAAACTGCCACCCATGTAATATTGGAGTGCAAAGCACTAGCGCGTTGGAGATACAACCTTCTGGGGAGCAGTAAACTCTCAAGAGGCCTTTCCAAAGAATGATTTGGTGAAGAGGATGCTAAACCTAACAAGGTAACGGACCTGTTCACCCAAGACAACAGCATGATCAGGAATACAATAGGCCCAAAGGCTGCAGTGTTTTGGGCTTCGAACCCTGACTGATCATTCTGGTAATAATCAATCAATCAATCAATAAGATACTCACCCAGTACTCCACCAACGCCGTTATCTGCTAAAAACTGTGCATATCTTGGAATGATATTCACATCAATGGACCTAAAACAGACCGCATATTATTCACTATATATAGACACTACATCGCATAAACGTCTCCAGCAGGGCACATGAGTGTGAAAAAAGTAAATAAAGAGAAACTGTGTTTGCTGGACACCAACTGGCTTTCCTTTTCAAATTCATGGTGGATCTTTACACAAAATGAATTCGTAAAACTTACATGTCATTACGAAAAGCGGTGAACACCGGTGCACACAAGCCTCGAAATTTCAGAAAGACCTATCAGAAAAGACATATCAAATAAAATCACATTTCATTCATAATTATACATCTAATTGAACTTGCCATTTTTACACCAAGTTGCGTTTACAATCACCATCAGATTGCCACTCAATACACACTATTTATAAAAATAGAAATCCTTCACGTTTTTAGATAATAAATTGAAGAATGTTCCTACCTATTTCATTTTGAAGCAGATTAGAACAGGGGCGGACCGTTTGTTTGTGGGGTTATGGCCTAATGCTACATGGGCATACTGGTTTCCATTTCGTCAACTCATGTCAACTGGTTTCGTTAATTATGTAGGTAGATACATGGTGTACAAACAAAAAGAGGTCAATGAAATATTTCATTTATTTAATTTGACTATACAATAGACACACGACAAACAACAACTCGAAGTAATTGCTGAATGAATCAACAGGTTATGTGTTAAGCAAGAAATTTCATGAATTATCGAGTGAATTATAGAACATGCACTATGAATTTTTGAATTTTCAGATTTGTTTAGTCATATCGAACCATGAACTGTATAGCATCTGCCTCTGGATGAGAATGTTTTTCTTATCTAACTCATGTTTGAGTACAGTGTTCACACGAAATTTTTATTTTAATCATTCAATGATTTTATGATATGAGGTGTTTTCAATTAGATCACAAGCACGCTGTAGAAACAACTATGCATTTCCATAAGTTTATTATTCAACGAAACCGCGTTAAGTACAGTTTATTGCAAGATATACAATCATTTCTGTGAAGGGACATTGAATTTGTTGTCAAACTAGCAACATGAATATAAACTAAATCAAATTTGGATAACAAGATAACATCATATGGTTCAAACAATGGTGGGTATAATTATTGTTTCTACGAAAGTAGTTGCGTTTTTCTTCCGTCGCATCTAATCTGGGCGTCAATTGAAACTTTAATAGTGGAATTTGGCATCAAGTTTGACTTCTCGTAATATCTAAAATATTGAACGAATTTTGAATTGCCGCCCAGATTCTGAATGCCTTTTTCATCGTCTTCCGAACCATTCCTTACAGCTTCTTCTGAATTGAACAGGACTCGTGATACAGGGTGAAACAAAGTTTCGTGCATTTTGAAGAAAATTTCTCCGACCCCCCATGTTTTCGGAAGACCACGATGCTCATAGTTCATTCGGGCATTTCATAAATAGCAACCATACCTCAGGACATTTTCGAGTTTTTGCCAAAAACTACTGTGGTTTCCGAAGAGAAAAATGTTTTTGATTTTTTTTAAATGGACTGATTACCTGTATCCTCAGAACGATGAATCAGTCTATTTATTGTCATGACTGACTTATTAAAAATTGTACTTAAATGAGTTTGGGTATATCCCAATCGTCGTAGCCTGAAATAATGATTATCTGTACTGAATTATTGAACGAGGCATCTTTAAATTTTTTAGGACCCGAATTACACTGACGTTTTCATGAAAATTGGCAATTGATATAACCTCTATGCGTATCTACATTGTTTCAACAATACGTTGTTATAGAAACAAGGTATCGTTGTTTGTTTTTGTTGATGAGAGTGTTGCTTTACTGCTCACTAAGGTAGAAAACTTCTATCATAGACTACAAAGTAATAAATTATTGATTGTTTTTTAGTAACCTGGTATACATATCTGCTCCAACGCTTTCCTGAAATGCATAATAGCATCCATTTATGGAACTCATCTAAAATCAGTCCATTCAAAAAAATACAAAAAAAAATTTTTTTGAAACCACAGTAGTTTTTGGCAAAAACTCGAAAACGTCCCGAGGTATGGTTGCTATTTATGAAATGCCTGAATAAAATATGAGCATCGTGAACTTCCGACAAAATGGGGGGGCGGAGAAATTTTTTTCAAAATGCACGAAACTTTGTTTCACCCTGTATCACGGGTCCTAATCAACTCAGGAGGAGCTGTAAGGAATGGTTCGAAAGACGATGAAAAAGGCATTCAGAATCTGGGCGGCAATTCAAAATTCGTTCAATATTTCAGAAATTACGAGAAGTCAAACTTGATGCCAAATTTCACTATTAACGTTCCAATTGACGCCCAGTTTATAAACCATTGTTCATCATTTGAACATTTGTGAATATTACTTTGACCCAGTGGTGAATCCAGGATGTTCTTCAAAGCAAGGCGCACATGAGATTTTAGACTGTACCCAGCAAACGTTAATACATGGACCATAGAGCAATGTCACCCCTAAGACAATTTCCTATGGTAAATCACAATAAAAATGTCCCCTGGCCGATTTAACGCCAATATTGACGAAACAGTACTTCAATTTATTGCTTATTCATTGGCCCAGTGATCACTCACTGTCGAATTTTCAGTGCATTCTAATTGAAAATCGAGTGGTTTATTCTTATCCAGAGAATTTTGAGGTTGGGTATAGAAATTCTTATTTTACTAATAATAATAATTATAATAATAATAAGTAACACAATAAAACTTCTCGAATTCAATGGGTGAGTGGACTGAAAATGAATTATTAGCATTCAATTACTCCATTGTGTCGTTAGGAACCTGAATCAATTTTTGCAACAATTCTCACAATCTTTTATGTAAATAATGAGACGAGAGGGATTTCAAATGCATGATTCGAGATTTTTTTCCAAATGACTATAACATTGTAATACAATTCAAAATGTATTTATCAATTACTTGATTAATACACAACAATTTGAAACTTATTTAACAGGAAGGAGTCAAGCTGTAAGAATGGGCGTGTACACCTTAGTAGAACGTTTAACTCAAACCATATTGAGAATGATCGTTTTATACATAAATAATGGTTGACGACATAATTCGATCGAAGAATGAACTAGAATGTTTTATTTTTGAACATAAATAATAGTACCTTCTGAAAACGTACCCTCTTATGACGTAGAAACCTCATCTCGTCTTATAGTTGAAAGAAAATACCAAACGCCCGACGGAGACTGAGGCTACTGATATATTAATTCTTTCAACTGTGATCTCGCGCTAATTCACTCTGTCAGAAATCATGTATCATGCATCTCTGTCTGGAATAGTCTTGTTCTAGTATTAGGGTTTTGACGTCACATCATCTCCTCGTTTTCAGAGGTCCGAAAAATCGGGGATTTCAATAATTTTTTATAAAACGTAGGGAGCTCACAGCAAGAAACGGTTTGCGGTGGTGAGCTAGTTTGGGTGAGTTCTATAGAATTATAAAATGATTTTTTTTGTGATACAAGCCCATTGATGATATATTGAGCAGTGATAGGGTGATCGATTGTGGGGCACCTCAAGGTTCCGTACTGGGGCCAACATTATTCAATAACGGACTTTTTGCATTAGACAACAAAGAATTCTCCCACATAAAATGTTGGCTGGATAAGAAGTTACTAACGGTGAATATTGATAAAACGCATTATCTACCGTTCTGTTGTTATGCAGCTGGAGCACCCTCATTTGATCAACTAATAATAAGAACTGAAACACCATTGCACATTTTTCCCGAAAAGAAATAAAATACTTAGGAATAATTCTTAACACTCATTTGAAATGGAACCTCCATATTAAATTAACTGTCAATAAACTGAGGACCATTTTATTCAAATTTAGGAAACTCAAAGTCAAAAATATATCAAAACTTTATATTACTCACTTGTGGAAAATCATTATACGCTATGGAATAGCAGTGTGGGGAGGAGCCTTGAATACTCATATTCAGCAACTTGAAATTATGCAAAGGCGTTTTCTTAAGTTAATTTCTGCTAAGAATAGTAGGTACCCTTCTGATAGTTTATATATCGAAACTCGTATGTTGGACATGAGACAGTTGTATTTTTTATGCTCTAGCGTCAGATATCATACAAATAAACTTACAGAATTGCTTCCTCCACATCAGTACCACACTCGACAAAGAGATCAGTATAGGTACTACACCCTCAGGGTCGTTGATCAAAGATCATATATTTACTTCGCACCTAAATTCTACAACCGCATACCTGAGACAATAAAATCCATTACAGATATCAATCGCTTCAAAGAAGAGTTGAAACAGTATAGTTATCAAAGTAAAAGACTCGAACTTCTACGACTATTTGAGTAGATGAGATGAAACCTTTGCTATATTGTCCACTTACAATTCTGAAATATATTTATATCACTGTTTTTTTTTTCAATATGTATCACAACCATTTTCAGTAACTCCCATATCGCTTTTCCTTTTTTTATACACTATTTGTACCCATATTTTCATCATTGTGATTTAATACTTACTCTGTATCAATTTAGTTTTATGTTGTGAGATTTCATATTAAGTCATATTCTATGTTGAAACTTCTAACTAGCTTTTTTATATTTGTATATATTCGAACTGAATGTTTTTATATATTTTACCTTCACCTTCACTGATATTTGATTCGTGTGATTTTATATTATAATTTTTTGATTTTAATTTCATATATTAAGTAGTTCATTTACATTTATGCGAATCCTTTTTCCATAATTTATTGCTATACCTATACTAATGTTTACTCCATATCATATTTTATTTTTATTTTTATTTTTTTCACCACACACAAGCAAAATTTGATGCTTCTGTGGTTTCCACCACGTTTATTCAGAACATATATTACTCTTAGTTTTATTTTGTGATCTGAATCTGAATAAACCGTATCATTATTATGATTAACTACAGTATAGCGACAATTTGGTCTCAAAAAGAAACGACGTTGTGTTGAGAAAACTAGAATAGGTATTTTTGTATCTAGAGTGCGAAATACTACTTTGGTGATCGAGATCTGATGTTTTTAAAGAGGCTCAGCCGAGTACAAACGTCAGAAAATATAGTTCTAAAGTAAAAATATGCTCAGCTTGAGGAAAAAATAATGTTGAACTGACTTAAAAGGCCTCCTCCAATCCTCCCTAGATGCCCACGATGTTCCACGAACATAATAGGAATTTCCTTTCGTGCGCTCCAAGAGATAAAACAGAGTTATTGATGAACATTCAGAAATAAATGATTTCGCGGATGTTTGCTCAATTGAGGACCATAAAGTTGAAATATGATTATCTCATATATTTTACATAACAATGCGCGAAGTACCTACTTCATCATGATAACGTAGGAAACTGAAAAAAAGTGTCACTTCGCAATTTGTCATCAATGCGCGAGCCTCGTCATTTTTTGACGTTTGTAGAAAAAAATTATCTGACGATAGTGGCGGTGACAGTAGTTGTCAAAGTATAGAGGTGTGTTGATTGAAAGCTAGGTACATATTCTTCGAATTGGGAAAATTTGAGTTCTCACACTATACTAGAATTATCACGGAAATAATGGATATAGAGTGTACGGGATTATTCCTGGAGCCGATTTGTCGTTTTTCAGTCTACTAGTATTTTCATTCCATATTATAGATAAAAAGATGAAATTCGGTGTTTGAGTAGGTATAGTACATGAATAATACATGCATTATTTGACGTAATTGTTGAAGTATTGTTCTTTTCAAGTTGAATCATTCGTTAAAACAAGATTATTCCTAACACTCGTAGATGAACTCTGCTGATTGACGTTAAGTTAGATTTGTCAGAATAGAAATATAAAAAACTGTCAGTAATTTTCTTGTTCAACGTTTTACAAATATAGTCTTTCACACTGAATAGAAGTTCATTCATTAATAAGAATAAACTTCAATAGGTTATGGACCCAGTTTACGCTAGTTGGTACTAACTAAATAGCGTGTGCGAAAGACTGCGGAAGAAATCGTTTTTCCTGTGTAAATCATGTTGAAGTAAATTTTGATTGTGAAGTCTCGTCGTCTTAGCATTCAGAATATGGAGTTGGCGAAACACATCAAACCTTTGGCTGGAGAAGGA